TACTGTGCAGTAAACTATGCTACTGTGCAGTTAAGCGTCTTGTGTAGATGCACCCAGTTACTACAGGGGAAGATCTTTTCCCCCCCTTCATTCTGCCTTTTAAAAACAGGGTGTGTATCTTATTCTGGTGCTGGGTTTTTGGTTGTAGCCACGTTGGGCTAAGGATGTAGGCAGGCAAGGTTCTTTGAGTAGATGTGATACCTTTTATTAGACCAATTGAGTAGTTGGAAAAAATTTCCTTGGCAAGCTTTCGGGCGCAGTCACCCTTTGTCAGGCATGGGGAGTCTCTGCTGTTCTGAGACTCCAAGAAATGAAAACTTTTCATTTTCGTGGAGTCTCCAAACAGCAGAGTTTCATTTCTTTTCAGCAGAACGGTTTTCACTTCTTGGAGTCTCAGAACAGCAGAGACTCCCGATGCCTGAAGAACGGTGACTGTGCCCGAAAGCTTGCCAAGAACATTTTTTCCAACTACTCAGTTGGTTTAATAAAAGATATCACAGCTACTCAAAGAGCCTTGCCTGTCTTATTCTAGGGCATATTGTATGCAAGATAATATGGTAATTCAGAATACATCAGGTGGGGGTGCTGAACAAGGAGCTTGCTTTGGAGGATGCACTTAAAAGGTATTGCAAACATAATTAGTGAGCTCACGACCCAGGTAGGAAGAGTGGTTGGGAAGGAAGAGATGTGTTGGGTTTGCCATCTGAGGACAGAATTAACCCCGTGGAATCGTCCCTTCCAGCACCGGTGCTATTCAGGCCCTTCCCACACTGCTGTGGAGGTCCGACAATGCCATGCGAAACATGTCCAAAGAGCGGCTTGTTTGCTTTTACTCCTCAAAATCTAAAGCAATGCATAATAGCACTAATGATCTCCGACTGGAGCACTTCCTGTGGAATTAACCACCCTCGACTCATTCAGCCGTTCATTAATCCCTCAGAAGTGCCCAGTACATCAATCATGATTGCTTAATTAAAGCAAAGTTACCAGACAATTACGGTGGTCAGAACAGCTCAAGACAGCAAATGAGTCCTGTAGAAGCTGAGAGTCTGAAATGGCTGGGGACGAGCTGCTAGTTCTCCTGGGCAGGCCGGGGGCAGAAGCAGAAAATTGGGATCTTTGGAGTGATGCAAGCCCCCAGCACCAGAAATATCCCACTGGAGACCAGCAGTCAAGGAGCAGGTGGGTAGCACTGCCTCTTTCAGCAGCTCCTTCTCCATTTTGCCATCAAATCCGGACCTGGCACAGTTGAAATGGGGCCTAATATAGGTTAAATTCATGCTGACTGATGCTATGCATCAGTGGAGTAAGAAGGAACCACGCGCCATATGTTTAGGGAATTCGTGGAACGTGCCCTAATTAACGGGCGGCCGGCGAGTTAGAAATCAGTCTAGTACTGAGCGCTCGTTGGAAGCGCACTAAATGGGATGCAGTCCCGTGGCTGTCGCGTTCCTGGACATCGATGAACATCTGTAGTGGATTTTATTGAAGGGCAGAGGGGAGCTATTGAAAATGACCCTATTACTCAGACAGTGACGTATCTAAAAATGTCCGTTGCTTCATGCATTGAAAGTAATAATGTTGGATACCCATTTTTTTTTTACGTTGCTAACTGGAAGCACGCAGGTAACCGGCTCCCCTAGGTCTCCAGAACAGCTTGGCATACGTGTTGGGTTTAAAGGCTGATTTCCGTGCAGCTGATTTGTTGGTTTCAGTAAATAAATAAAATAAACCATGTTAGAAATCCTTTGAAGACAAGCAAGCAAATGCTGGGATTCAGGTGACTGCAACGCACTACCTGCTCTGTGGCAATCTCTGCTGACCTAGTTTTTTGCTATCGGAAGGAAGGCATTTCCAATGATGCAGGCTGCTACCATCTCCTAATGCCGGCTAGAAACATCCAAAGTTACTTCGGGAGCCTCGGGCGCTGTGAGGAGAGAGCAAGAGCCAGCACGCTTCTCCTGGGAGCGACTGCTGTGCAACCTGCTCCGTCCACATCTGTTTCCCCAACTTTACCCCGTGCTGTTGTCTCTCTGCCTATGCGGAGTCATCCCTGGCTCAAAGCGTTTCTCAATGAAGTGGAACATTTTGCAATCAGGTCTGCGGTGGTTGAAATCGGTCATGTTTTGGTCCAAGTAGAAAACTGAAAAATCGGAGCCAGGGGAGGTTTTGCAAAGACCAAGTACATTTCCCAATGTTTTGCCCCCTCCTCTAGTTGTCCGCCATCCTCCTTCCATTCACAGGCCTGCATCGGACGCATCACCACGGCATCGGGGTAGTTGGCGTTGGCCGTGGCCCTGGTATGTCATGGGCCAAATTTGCAGCTTGTCGTGTAATTTTTCATTCTAGTTTTGCCCTGTATTTTCTTTTAAAATGCCCGTCTCGCACATTAGATGCTCTGAATAATATAGGCACTTGGCATCACGGGGGCATATGTCTTAACATTTGGGCCTTAAGATCTGTGGGATGACGGGCCGTCTCACGAGTGCGTCCAGTGCCCTGATCCCTTATTGGACACCTCCCAATAACGATCAAAGATATCGAGGGAGCAATTAATATTCCACCGAAAGCAACCTGTTCACACCTGATGGTCTCTGCTGGGCTCGTGATGGGAGCGGCGAGTAATCAATGCGTTTAGCAGCTGCTCTGGTTGCGGCGTGTTGCGAGAGTAACGCGGCCCCCCTGGCTGCTCTGCTAGCCCCCACGCTAGACTCGTGTCTCGCGGGGAGGATGACCGTCTGCTGCACACCATCTCCGCGGCCGCTCTCCTGCGCTCCGATGGCCGTGATAGAGAAATAAACCTGCCCACGCTTGAGGAAGCAGCAACCCCACCACATGTCGCTGCGGCAATCACCCAGACTACCTGGCAATTAGCAGACGTGCTCAGTGGGGGCAAATTAATTCAAAACATCTCCCCGGGAGCCGTGTCTGAGGACCGAATCCCCGTGTCTGGCACGTCAGGATGTGACTGCTCACAGTTGTCTGCACTCCCAGGGAATCCAGCTAGCCCCTGACCCCAAAGCAAGGCGGTGGGCAGGGCAGCCCTAGCAAACACCCTTCCTCTCCCTTGTGGTGCAAGCAGATTGTGAAACACTAGCCAGGGAGTTTCATGCATTTGCACAAAGGATGCCTGCGGATCTGTCGCACACGTACCCGATTCACTACTAGACGACCAGAATCGCAGACCGCTTGCGCCCGGGTGCCGCCTGGTTTGCACTGAATGCAACCAGGAGCTAAATGCTGAAAAAGGTGGATCTTGAAAGCGCCATCAAATATTTAATGTGTTTCATGTTCTGACCTATTTTGCTTTCAAGCCTTAGAAAGCTTGACAGTACCTCCTAGTGGACACGGAGAGCCCAGGCACAGAGCTTGTAAAATAGGATGGACACTGAAATGCCCGAAGCCTCCTGTCCAGACAAACAGATCCTTGGCTCCTGAACACAGTGGGCTTGAGAGGGAGCAGTACGTGGAGTCGTTGTTTCACAGCCGGTGAAGACGGGGACGTCTCTACCCTGGACCGAGGACATAGAAACACGAGGGGCTGTGCATCCAGATGGCTCTTTGCTGACGTCTCTGAGTGAACTGTGCTCTTGCAAAGCCTTGAAGTTATGTCTGCCACCAGAATAAAAGCAAAAATTTTCTGATCAGAAATCTTCACTGATCGGAAAAAAAATCACATCGATAAGGAATTAAGTATTGTATGTAAACCAAAAAAATCACATGGATAAGGAATTAAGTATTGTATATAAATCAAAAAAATCTCCAGTGCTCCTGCTTTCTAAGCCGTTACGTGTGGTTGTATGAAATATTTTTTTCAACATACACATCATGGGCACTCTCCCTTCAAAAGTTTGGGAGGAGAGGACCCCAAGATTTAATTCCCGATGCAATGACTGTATGTTATGCCACTTGCAAATATTTGCTATGGGAAGTTTCTATCGCCAACCACATCCCTGTCCTCCCAAGAGCCCTGTACCAGTCACGGGTGATTAAGGACTCAGGCAGGACCTCTCCATTACCAGAGCCGTGGGTGTTATTTTTATATACCTTTCCTGCAAATACGATGCAAATAGCAACCTACAGCTTGGAACATGTCGAACGATAAAAATAAAACCATTAGTCTGTCAGACTTCTCCAAACTAATTTGAACTCTCCAATGGACCCAGCATCCTCTAAGCTCCTGAAAGTCCTTCACCATTTTTTCTGAGATACAAGCCTGCAGGAAACCGGTTCAAAGTATTACACCGGGGGACCTGAAGGACATCATATAGCAAAGGGGAAGGGGCCTATGAATATGTTTCTTAACTTAGGAATAGAGTGACCTAGAAGGAGAAAAGGAACTTTCTCCAGAAAGCAAGAGGGGAAAAAACCCCAGAACTGTGCTGCTGGATTTACAGCACAACAGGGCAAGTATCTGGGTCCCTCGAAGCTGAATAACCCAGAGGGCTGGCATGGCAAACCTCTCTGCCTGAGCCTGAGCCTCAGCCCCAGAGCTGTGGTTTTGGTAATCATGTCTCAGCAGGCCCCGACAAGCGATCCCTTTGCTCGTGGTTTGTTCTGACTTTTTCCCTCTTGCCTGACTCGCTCTCCTTTGCTAACCTGGTGTTTCTCCCCACGCAGCGGCCTGTGGGCAGAGTGGGCTAACACCAAGCAAGCATTTCCCACTCCTCAAAGCCACCTCCTTCCTTCCAGCCAGCTCTTTGTGGCGGTGCCTTTTTTTGCTCGCTTTACAGATCCCACGCTGCAAACCGGCCCGGAGGCCCCTGGTGATGTCCAGAGGAAATCAGCCGCTCTTAGATAGGTTTTGCACGTGTGCAATCATCCTTGCAGTGTGCCTCCACGTCGTGGAAAAGCAGGTGAAACCCAATCTCATCTCTCGGTAGCTCAGGCCCGAGGAAAAGAGCGGTGTTACTGAGCGGCCGCTCTCCTCCTGACGGACGGTTGCGTTGTGGAAGGGTTGGGAGCGGAGTTGTCACTGATCCCTTGTTTCTTGGTTGCAGACCGGCCGGATCGAGCCGAACCACCCCAAGGTTTGCGGCCACCAGGGCAACGTGCTCGACATCAAGTGGAGCCCGTTCATTGAGAACATCATCGCCTCTTGCTCAGAGGACACTTCGGTGAGTAAAAACCATGTGAATGGAGGGTGTATAGGTTTCAGCAGGAGGTCAGTGTGAACAGACTGCACTTCCCTGCCTGGTGTCATCACTGTGGCAAGCTCCTGGATCGGTCTCTCGCTCCTTAGGGAGCTTAGCGGGGAAGGTACCCCCCATGAATCAATGCAGGGCGTTCCCCTCTCCATAAATATAACCCTACGTGCTTGGGGCATGAGCTCCTACAGTTGCGTGTGCGTGCGTGGTGCAGAAGAGGTGTGTTTTAAACTCTAAAGGGATGCATGTGAAAAGAGGAGGAGGAGGAGGAGACCAGCCGTGTGACTCAGCAGCGATTTGGAGGAGGCATCAAGTTAGTTCTGTCATTTCGCTTTGAATTTTCCTCTGTGATTTTTTTCCCCCCATTTCATTCTGTTTTGTTTTCATCGCTGTCGGGGTCCTTCGTCATCCTCCCGGGAGCGGACGAGGGCCCAGGCTCTTCCAGAAGACGGGAGATGAAAGGCGGGGGGATCTGACAGGCAGCAGGAAGGAGTGGGCTGGAGCCCCCGGCGGAGCAGCGGGATGAAAGGGGAGACTCTCATGGGTGGAGGGAGGGAGAGGAGCGGAGAGGAGGCAGCAAAGCAGCTGCAATCTATTGGTGAGACAACTTAGCGAAGGGATTCAGTGTGTCGGCCGCTCGTGGCTCTCCAGCCTCTTCATCTGTCACGGACAGGCCATGTGGGACCGAGGTGACCCGGGAGGGGACGCTCTCAAACATCTGGCCGCCCCAATGACTTTGCACTGGGGAACATGTGGCCAGCGCGAGGGACGGGTCACGGGAACGGCCCCCCGAGCGTGGCTGGCAGACACCTGAGACCCCGCGGATAAACAGCGAAACGCTCCCAACACCGAGGCAGCGTTTCCCCCAGGCCTCTGCTCCGGCCAAGAAGCTGGGTGCGCCCGAGGGCAGGGGCTCCCACTGCTCTTATTCCAGTTCGGCTCGTGGGAGCGCCCCCGTCCGAAGCTTTCCCTCCAGCCCCATCTCCGTGCTGTCCCTCCCGAGCCCGGAAGGGCCCAGCTACCTTCTGCAGGTCCAGTCCCTTCCTCTCCTGCAAAAGAGGGGCAAAAAAAGGGGAGACACCTCTCCTGTTTCCACCCCCTGGCATCTTTTCCACCCGCAGCCTCCTCCATCCGACGCGTCTCCAGTAGCGGAGGGCATTTCCCGCGGAGGAGGCAGGCTGGCAGTCAGGGGCACGGTTCCCGGACGTCAGGCCCTGCCACGAGGAGGGCGACAGCACCGGGGGGGCATCTGCTTCCAGGAAAAGCTGCACGCTGCCAACTAAGTAGTTTGCTTCAGCAAATCTCCTGGCGAAAGAGAGGCGCCGCGGGCGCATCCAGACCCTTCCTGCTTTATACGTGCCCGGCGAGCTCTCTGCAGATCTCCGGCTGCCGTCTGGCCCAAGCAGCTCCCTCTGCTACTCGGTGATGTCATGTGTTGTTGGCGTCCTAGCTTTCCCTTTATATCCCCGCGCTGCAGATAAGCCGTACGGCTGCAGGCAACAACGTCTTGTTCCCCCCCCCAACAGCAGCACTGTGATTAATCCCCTCTTACTCTCGTCAGCAGCGGGGCGGCAGCGATGCTAACGATGCAACTGTCACGATGAGAGAAGAGGGGCCTTGCAATCTGCTGAGGCAGGAGCTAGGTCGCGTCTGCTCGGCTGCCGTTTAAGGCTGCGCTTTTGCTTTCTGGTCGCTAATGTTTCCCCCTTGACAACCTGCCATCGCCTGCAGAAACCTGCGCCTCGGTTCCCCCGAGCAAAACCTGGGATGACCCGGTTTGTAACAGGGTACCGTTCTGCCTCGAGACGTCTCGCTGCATCATTATATAGTATCATCTTAATGTCTCATCCTCTGCTCCTAGTCCAGCACGTTGGCGTTTTTTATTAACTGAAACCTTGTCGAGAAGCTTTGGACTGAGGGGAAAATATTCAGATCGCAGCCATGAATCACTGAAAGCTGTCTCCCTCTTTCAATTATAACCAGTTTCATCCCGTCAGCTGGGAATATTAAGTGTCTGGAGGGTGCTTTGTGATCCATCACGGCCAGTTCATTTAAACCCAGGAAATCAAGGTAGTCACCCACAGCCTCTAGTTAATGGTTCTCCTCTTGGTTGTTGGTCTTTTTTCATTTTAGAGAAGAACAGTCATTTTGGTCACCGTTTTATGATGCAGGCATGCGGTGTGGTCTTGGTTGAAGCTCAGCAGACATCCGGGATCTCCAAGGCCTACTGCATGGGTCTGGGTTTTTGGGAAAATATTACAATATAGAAAGGAAGTTTGGAAGTAGTGCTGTAGCCTTTACCTCTGGGACATGGTCTAATGGATGCCCTTGGCTTGCACTTTCCAGATGCCGCATTGCTAGAGGGCATGAGAGTTGCTGAAGACATGCCAGTCAGGTTCCTGTGCAGGGTTAACTGCTTGGCACCAAGACGCTGCTTTTCATGTGTTGAATGAATGAACCCGTGTGATGAGCCGTTCTGCCTCCTGGCACGTTATGGATGCAGATCTCGGACTTGATATTGCAAATGCAGCTAGTCGTGGAGGCGGCAGTACCATTCACCATAGCAGTTGCATTTGCTGCTCCCTAGTTGCTCCATGCTAAGAACTTCCTTGGACATCGATTTCCTTAGGGACGCCCCTTGGAGGAGCACTATTTCTTTTTCTAAATTGCTAACCTAGTCCACGTAGCAGGCTGCCAAGCTCTGTCTACCAGTCTTTAGTAACTAGTCTGACCACTTCGGCCCATTTCCAGGAGCTAAGCTGCCCTTCTCAGAGGGTCTCCATTGCACAGCTCACCCCAGAAGTTCAGTGGTTTATGGCACACGCTTAAATCCAAATGTCTCATTCTCACAGGGAGAGGCAGGGACCTCATCTGACACGTGCTAAACCGACCAAACAGAAAACTTTTCCCCTGGAGAGCCCTGTCTGGCTGCCTCTGAAAGTTTAGTGGTGCAGTGGGCTAGCTAAGGGATTTTATGGACCTGCTTGCATGGTCAGCCTTGGTCTGATTGCTGTCTCCCAGCTTGTTTAATGGTGAATCACCTATGGTCTGACTATAGGTATATAGACTATAGCTGCATAGTCTGGAGAAGAGAAGACTGAGGAGTGATTTAACAGCAGCTTTCAACTACCTAAAGGTTGTTTCCAAAAAGGATGGAGCTGGGCTGGTCTCAGTGGGGGCAGACGACAGGACAAGGAGCAATGGACTCAAGCTGCAGCAAGGGAAGTTGAGGTTGGGTATTAGGAAGCACTGTCTCACGTGGAGGGTGGTGAAGTACTGGGATGGGTCACCCAGAGAGGTGGTGCAGTCTCCATCCTTGCAGATGTTAAAGACCCAGGTGGACAAAGCCTTGTCTGGGACGATGTAGTTGGGGCTGGTCCTGCTTGGAGCAGGGGTTGGACTAGATGTGACCTCCTGACGTCCCCTCCAAACCAAATTTTCTATGATACTATGAACTGGTAGTGGATTATCTAATCTTCAGCTGGCAGGGAGCGATTCGGGTTGCTCGCTTCCTGCATACCCGATCCAGCCGTAGCTCGCAGCATTTGGGAATAAACAAGGCGTGCACTGGGTGTCTGTCACCCCACCTCTCTCCCAACCCCCGCACTGGCTTTTGTTCTTTGTCCCTGGGTCTTTCGCTTTGATGTGCTGGAAGCAAGTGCAAGGTTGCTGATCCCTAACCCTCAGAGAGTAGTGAGAAGGTCCCTGGATAACATCTGCTTATTACCTGGCTCCAGTATCTGTTTTCATTTGGTATCATTTAAGGGTGCTTTAGGCGTCCTCTGACTTGGGGATGTATTACAAGGCTTGCATCATGTGAGGGATAAACTGCTTAGAAATGCCATTGATCCATTACAGACTCAGTATCCAAGGTTGAAGGCGGTGTGCCTGGGGCCAGGCTGCCCGGCTCCTCTTGCAGGTAGCCTGCATTAAGTGCCGTGCCCTCCGTGAAGAAGCTGCCTGGACCTTGCAAGGAGAAGGACAAGATGCGAGAGAGAAGGATTTGGAGGAGGCATCAGAAAATCAGTCCATTAGCCTGCAGCTCGAATGCAGGCTGCAGTAGCTGCACCTCAATAGCTTATTTAATAAAGAGCCACTCGCCTTCCCGAAGTACTGACGCATCTTGCATTATTACCCAGTACGTGGAACAGGAGATATGGTGGCAGGGAGCAGGTCACTGAAAGCCAGTGCAAGAGAGAGAGCGTGCGATTAACATGCAGACAACGCTGTGCCCAGGAGCAGAGCGAGCAGGCAGCCGGGAGAGACGCGGACTATCAGGAATGCATTGCAGACAAAAAGTCTTGGGAGCAGAGGGAAGAGCTGAGTCTGCATGCAGAGATGACCCTGGCAGGATAACATTGGGAAAAATCCCAGGCTAGAACTGGGATTATTTATTCCAGAAAAGAAGATGGAAGGGGGGGGGGTGGTAATAAACAGTCTTCAAATACCTGAAGGTTGGATATACATAGGATGGTGATGGATTAGCCTGTGTGGCCTCTGGGAACGGGACAAGAGCAGTGGTCTTTGCTTGCAGCAAGGGAAACTGATGTTAAGAAAATCTTTCTCAATGTCAGGGTGGTTAAGCAGTAGCAGGCTACCCAGAGAGGATGTACCTATTCTCACACAAGATGAATTCAAGTTAGAGTAGAAATGGAAACAGATTTTCAGCTGCCGTGGATGATCAGGGGAATGATAAGATTGTTTTATGGGGAAAAAATTGGAGTTTGGGTCATTTAGCCTAGAAAAATGAAAGGGCTTGGGCACGCAGTACATTTATACTGCTATCATGGGCAGTTTTGTGCACCAATGTAAATTATATCAGGATTTCGGCTTAGCTGCTTGAAGGTGGGTTTATTTCAGTGCCTTGCCACTGGGTGGTGGGGGAGCAGGAAATAGTTTCTGTGCCTGTAGCACGTGGCCGCCCCGGGATAGCTGCAGGCACGCAAGACTTGAACCGGTAGATTTACCCA